CCTCCCAGGGTGAAGCCAGCCTCCTGAAGCACCTGCCTGCCTGCCTCCCATGTCCTCAATCCTTCTCTTCGCAGGCTCTCTCCCTCCCAAACCTCCTTCCTGTCTGAACCTCTGCCCTCCTCTCCTTGTGTGAGTTACCTGTGTCGAGTCTCCAGCACAGGCATGCTCCCTTCAGTACTATGGTATTGGCCATGCTGAGATTAGACTGTTTTTACATATCTGTCTCTACTGTGATGCCTGTAAGAACAGGGTTCTCGACTTCTTCCAGTTCCTCAGGCTCCTGCCAATAACTGCTAGGATAGCAGATGGTCAAAAGTGTTGGATGAACAGATGAAAAAAAAAATGGGTAAAATTCAAATGATTTCCCCTCAGAAGCTCTAGGTACACTGTGCCCGTCTCCCAATGTGCCCTTTGATGGACACAAACTTAGAAAGGTCTGTGAGTCACCAGAGATAACAGTGCGTCTCAGAACCCACCAGAACTACAAGTGAAAAGATGAACTTCAAGTCAGTTTGTCTGCTTTCAGAGCCGGTCCTGCGTCCAGATTTCCAAAAGGAGGGGCAGCCTGACAAGGATGCAAGGAAGGCTGAAATCAGGAAGAACTAAGATCCCTGATAAAACTCTTCAAAGGAGCTGTTCTCAATTTAACAGAGTATTTTTTTTTTCCTTCTTTTTATCAATGAGCACGTTGCTAGGGCAGGAGGGGAAGTGGGAAGGGGGAGGACCGGTGGAAGGTGTGTGGGAGGGGTCAAGGATACAGAGTGCCTGTCATCTCCATGACGCGGACAGCTGGTTCGGTCGTATTTTAAATGAAATCGCATCCCAGTGTAGACACCACGTCTGGAATTACAACCCACCCCGTGATCTGTCACTTTTATATATATGCACGAGGGAGTGGAGTGGTTTCCATAGAGAGGGACGATCACGGCCCCCTTGGGAACAATACAAGGAAAGAAAGAGCAGTGACCCCAGCCGGGACAGAAGTTCAGGGGGGATGCTTCTGGGGCAGATCTCCTGGTCCTGAAGCGGCTGCCCCCCTCACTGAGCATTTCCACTGCGGAGGGAAGGCCACTCACAGGTAAGATTTCGGCTGGGGACGTGTCCATGAGGGACGAGTGAGCCTACTGGCCCTACACGAGGCAGGAGGTGCCGGGCACTGGACGGGGGCGAGAGACCAAGGCTGCAGGTGTCCCTGGGCACCAGCCCCAGGCAGCCCGGTGTTCGACAGCACCGTCTGCGCTTTAGGTGAGGAGATATCCGCCCTCCCTTTTTGGCCCAGAGAGACCTGCTTGGCAAAGGTAACAGATTGGAGGCAGAACGGGTTCTTGCAAGTGTATTTTTCTGAACAGGGTTCAGCCGTGAACAAGAAAATCGTGTTTACAAGTGGGGAGATGGTTGGGAATAGCAACTGGGGGCTGTAACTCCCCACGGGCTGCAGGAGCAGGGGCTGCTGTGCGTCCTGCGAATCGGTGTGACCCACACTCGTAAGGGTCTCCCCTAGGAGACCTCTTCTCCCAGAGGAGAAGCGCTCATTACCATAACACCTGCTGGAACACATCAAGTTCCCCTAGATGCCACAGCCACCGTTTTAGAAAATGTTTCTTAAATTCAACTCCTTGTCAGGGTTTGCAGATGGATGCGGTGGGACAGGGAGTCATTCTGCCTTCCTCACAGCTGGAGAAGAGTCTGGAGAAGGGGGCTGCAGAAAGGGGCTGGAGGAGGGGGCTGGAGGAGGGGTCAGCACGGGGCCACCGGTGCGTTTGCCTCTGGCTTCAGCTCCGGTCTTTGTTGCCCTGGGGTCCCTTCCCCCTGGGGGTGCTCTGCTCTCACAGGTCCCTCACTGCCTCACGTCCCCAGGCGTGACTCTGGGACATCTCTGAGAAGCACCTAGAAAAGTACTGCTAGATCCCGACAGAATGATCCAGAAAAACACAGAGGTAGAGGTTTGCCCCCTAGAATCTAACTCCAGGGGTAGTGCTGTTTTCACAGCAGGCGGCAGGGAGATCTCGAACCTGTGTGTTGTGTCACCAGGGGCGGTGGCAAAGGATTCTGGGGAGCGTTAAGAGGGGAGACTTGCTAAGGAATCAGATGTTACTGGGGAGCGAAGGAGGGCTCTTCCCTGTGGAGAGCTTCTCTCCTGCCGACCCCAAACAAAGCTCTCGCTATAGCTTCCCTTCCAGCGTCACCCCTTTCTCTGTGAACTGGCTTTTGAGTCTTTAAATCCTGTCGGTCTTACAAGCCCTTAGAAACTGCTCCAAAGCCTTAAGGCGTCTGCAAGGTGCAGGGTGGCTAACGCCACGATTCCGTACGATGTTTACCCAGAAGAACGAACTGGACCCTCAGTAAACGACAAAGCCGAAAGTCTGGTTATCGAACACATATCGAACCCCGGAAAAAGTTCTCTGGGCGTTTGGCGTGCAATTCTAAGGAGCGCCCGGGAGGACCAGGACACCAAGAAAGCTGGTTCTCACCACGTGGTCCAGGGACCCGCAGCATCAGTGTCCTCTACGAGGGTGTTAGAGATGCCTCATCCCAAACCTACCGATGGCGCCTAGATTGCGTTCAAGGCAAGAGGAGGCCGTGGGGCTAGGATGGAGAGAGTGGTAGAACAACCAAAAACTAAAAGCCAGAAATATACCACAAGAAAGACAGCGGTCTGCAGGATCAAATTACTGGCTCAAATCAGCTGGCATGTGTGGATGTAGGTGTAGACAGATAGAGATAGAAATATATAGATATGGATATCACTTCTGAAATGGTCGTGCGTGAACTGAATCTTATCCTATTAGGACCCGGAGATTATTTATGTGTAAACAGTCTCCTCTACTAACTATCTGGCTACAGCAAGAGCTAATCTGCCTCAATTTAATCTTCCACATAAGCTTTATGAGGCAATCATTGCTATCGCCATGTATCAGATGAGGAAATTGAAATGCACCGGGGTTCAACAATCTGCCCACGGTCCTCAGGCAAACCAGGACGAGGTGGATTGGAACCTGTGTCTCTCTAACTCCCAAGTCTGTGTTGACTTCACTGCACACTGCCACGTACATGCCCAGATGTAGCTAGTTCATGCACTGGGATTTTATAAAGGATCACGGTTTGTTTGTTTTTTTCATAACTGTTTTGATAAACTCAAAATTTTTATGATTTAAAAAGAAATGAACAAACAAATAAAGCAACCTGGTCTCTTAAGAAGGGGGGGAAGAAAGAAGAAGAAGAAGGCAGTAGGTGCAATGTGGAGTGTGTGAGAAAACAGCAGGCTTCTAGAGAAAACTTGCCAGGTCAGTGTGTGTGTGTCTAGGGTAAGTGAGAGAGCGAGGGCTTACAAGATTCTCCTTTAGAGACAGAACAAGGCTCAGGTATTTAAGGGTCTGTTCTAGCCGCGTCCATTCACAGAGTAAAGAAGTCGGGAAGTGGGAGTGCGTTCATTCATTCCCACTCATTTTCTGGGAAATGACCTGCTCAAGGTCATGGTGACAATGATTTGCAGAGTTGAGGCTAGAACTCAGCATGGGACTGCCAGCCCCTCTCACCTCTGCCTGTAACCACAGAAAACGGAATGATCGTATGCTAGCCTAGCACTTCTCGATGCCCAGAAGGACCCCCGTGTTGATTTATTTATCCAACTTTTCTTACTTACTAAAAACTACCTTAATGACAGCAGTCCCCCCAAAGTTCCATAGTTAACCACATCTTTCTTGCTTCCTTTTATGGGAGCCAAGGATGTCTTAGACAGAAAATAAACTCCAGGGGCACGTGGATGGCTCAGTCGCTTAAGCATCTGACTCTTGATTGCGGCTCAGGTCACGATCGCATGGTTGGTGAGTTTCAGCCCCACGTTGGGCTCTGCACTGACAGTGTGGAGCCTCCTTGGGATTCTCTGTCTGCCTCTCTCTGTCTGTCTCCCAAAAATAAATAAAGAAACATTTAACAAAAAAGAAAGAAAAGAAACTCCAAGTTCAGGTCAAGCAACCAAAGTGAAGAGGGCAGCCTTTTACTCTTTGCGCTTCCTGGGATGGTCCAGCAGTACATACGGGAGTACGTACGGGTATCAGCACATCGGGTGTGTAGGATGGCCAGAAGCCCTTCCTCTGGGGGTGAGTAGATGAAACCCCACCCCTTGACCTCGCGTCTCTTTCTCACGCATGAAGGTGACGGTAGAGTAAAGGAACCTCCTGTCCTTACTTCAGAGCTGGAGAGAGTGCGGCCAGGCGAGGCCACGGGGGCCGGGGTGTGGGCTGGGCTTGGTGCTAGGACACAGGAGGTAAATTCTACCCACTTCACCATGTTCCTAAGGCACGGTGACCACACACAACCCAAATTCTGATCGCCTTCCGACACGCTGTGAGCTACTGTCGCACAAGAGGCTGGGCAGAGGGCGGGAACGGCCCCGCGTGAGCCCTTCTCCGTTGCCGGAGAAAGCAGCTTAAGTTCTCGCCCAGCACTGTTGCTCAGGGGCCCAACCACCATGATGGCTTCAGACCAGAACAGTCCGGGTTACAGGAGGGCCCCTGAGCTGGACACTTCCATTGCCTCACCTGCTCCATACACTAAATATAGGGGTTTTTTTTGTTTGTTTCCTTTCTTTTTAAAATTTTAAGTGTTTATTTATTTATTTTTGAGGGGGTGAGGGGCAGAGAGAGAGAGGGAGAGAGAGAATCCTGAGCGGGGTCCATGCTGTCAGCACCGAGCCCGACGCGGGGCTCGAACTCACGACCCGTGAGATCGTACTCTGAGCCATAGAGATCACCTGAAGGGTTTATTCCAACCCACGGGGCTGGCGCCAGACTTTCTGATCTAGTAGTTCTGGGGCAAGACTTGAGAATCGTTTGCATTTCTAACGAATATCCCGGTGATGATGCTGGTCTGGAGACCACACTCGGAGAACCACTGGTGACTAGTAACCAAGCCCTAGTGAATGTTCACCTCTGCCCTTCAGAGCTTCAAGCCCTTCTCACACCCCTGCCCCACATCCCTGTTTTCTACTGCAGGGAGAGATGCTGAAGCCAGCCCACTTCCTGCTGCTGCTGCTGCTGCTCCCGGGGGCCCCCAGGCCAGGCCTCCCCCAGAAGTTCTACAAAGCCAAGTCCTTGGTCAGCTGTATCAACACAGCCCTGCCGGAGGCCAAGCAGAGCCCCCTGGGGGACGCACCGCTGCTGAGCAAGAGAAGCTTCCTCTACCTGCCCAGCCAAGACCCATCCTCAGGAGAGAACGAGGAGCGGGTGCAGGAGGACGAGGACAAGAAGAAGAGGACCTTCCCCAGCTCCGGGGGTGGTGGCGGGGCCGGAAGCGGCCGGTACAAACACCTGTCCCCGGCGCAGCCCAGGGGAAGGCCGTCCCAGGACAAGGCCAAGAGCGATCGGCGCACCAAGTTCACTCTGTCCCTCGACGTCCCCACCAACATCATGAACATCCTCTTCAACATCGCCAAGGCCAAGAACTTGCAGGCCAAGGCGGCTGCCAACGCGCACCTGATGGCACAGATTGGCCGGAAGAAGTAGGAGCAGAGGCTGGCGGGAGGAAGTGCACGGTTAAGGGCAGGGGCGGAGGTCGGGCCAGCTGCTCCGTATATTGAGGGATGGGTCCAGCTCTCCACGCTGCTTCACTGCTCGCCCCCTCCGCTCCTCCTCCGCCCCCAGCCAGCTCCCTCCTCCCCTGCACACAGACACAGAAGAACGGCACTGCCACCCTGCACAGACGGGAGGCCCGTAACCCCTCTCCCTACATTTGAACTCTCCTTCCTCCTTCCCCGTGACGGGAGACAAAGGTCCTGAGGTCCCGCTCTCCACGCTCCTCCTCCACGCCCCGCACACCAGCCCAGCCAGGAGAGGCGTCGCACTGCTCACTGTCCTGACTTAGGGCCCCTTCCCTTCCCTCTCTCCCCCATTAAAACCAATGGCTTCTGCAACCCTGGGCTGGCTTGAGTTCCTCTTCCTTCAGCCAGCGGCCTTCACACCTCTGAGCGTGCAAAAGGGGAGGTGAATGAGGGAGGTAGCTGATGAGTCCATTCCCCATCTCTCCGGGGACAGAGCGGTTTTTGGTGGTCCTAGGAGGGGGTAAAGAAGGGCTTGGAAAGGCCAAGCCGGCAGGACCCTGCCAGCCGTGGCTCAAGCTAGAGCCGTCTCCGGGGTCTGCTCCTACCCAAGAGGCACCACCTGGCATCTGCTCTAGAATGGGCACGGGGTTGCTGGGGAGAGAGCTTTCATGACACCCCAAACGCCTCCATGGCTGGGCATGGGGCCGCCAGGCCGTTAGCAGGTGTTTATCAGACCTGCAGTAAGAGTCCAGCTGACTCTTTCCATCCTGGAAAAGCCCCATGGCAGAGCAGAAAGAATCGCAGCCCAAGACTCAGAATACCCACACGGGAGTCTAGGGTCTCCTCACTACGTGGCCCCGAGCAAATCCTTCCACTCCCCGTGCCGATGCCCCGGGAACCCTGCTTCATGAACGTGATCTCATCGATTTCTCACAAGTATATTTTAAGGTAGATATTATTTTCTCCATTTTGAGGATTTTTAAATTTGCCCTTTATTTATTTTTGGTCTGATAATGCATATTCTGTTCACACAAAAGGACAGGAAACGGGACGAACTTGGTTGATGAAAAAATCAAGCAAGGGGCCACATTTTTAGTTTCACGAACAACCTAAAACTAGAACATAAAAGTTGGAGCGGGTGGGGCGCCCGGGTGGCTCAGTGGGTTGGGCGTCTGACTTCGGATCTGGCCGTGATCGCCCGGGTTGTGAGTTCAAGCCAAGCCCCACATCAGGCTCTGTGCTGACGGCTGGGAGCCTGGAACCTGCTTTGGATTCTGTGTCTCCCTCTCTCTCTCTGCTCCTCCCCCACTCTCTCTCTCCCCAAACTAAGTAAATATTTAAAAATTAAAAAAAAAAAAAAAGCTGGAGCTGGCATCACAATGCAGGCAGGCTCAGTGTCACTGCTGGCTCTTGTCTGGACCCGATTTGTTTTTTTTTTTTTTTTTTTAAATCATAGTAGATGCATTACAAAAGCTCCGATCAAGAGGGTGGTAAAGACACAGGTCCTTGCAAAAACCAGAGTGCTTTTTCTCTTTTTGTAAATATACCACCACCTGGTAAAGCTAAAATTTACCTTTGGGGGGGCGGGAAGACAGAGGCTTGGAGGAGCGAGGGCACCTGCCCAAGTTTCCCCGGCTGGGAAGTGGCCACGATGCCTCCACTTGCCCCTGCATGCAGAGCTGACCCTTCCCACGCACCAGGGGCATAAAGACGCCAGCCAAGCCCCTGCCTCAGAAAGCTGGCGCGAACCTCAGCGACCCACGGGCGTGCAAGCCACCGGGAAGCAGCACAGGCATTCACTCGGATTTGGGATTATTACGTCCCCAGCAGGTGCGTTCTGAGCCTTCCCCAGGAGTTAAATGTGAGCATAAGTGCAGTTAACCGACTAGAAATTTGCCATAACCCGCCCCAGCGGCAGTGGGAAAGGGCGGGTTTGTGCAGGAGCGTGTCCAGCATTCTCTGTCTGAGCTCCCGAGGCGGAGCCTCTGACCTGAGTGCAGCCCCGGCCAGAGCGGAGTTCATGGTCACGCGCTAGAAAGCCAACGGCCACACCCACAGATGGCCACCGCTCCACCTGCCACCTTTGACAGAACTTTGTAGAAATACATTTTTTAAAAACCAGAAAATAAAGACGGTAAGTTATCCTATGAAGGTCAACGGACTTTCTAACGATCAGAAGAGTTAGCACCGAGGCCCCTCCTCCGAAGTGGATTTAAATGAAAATAACGATCATAATTATAATAATGCTTTGGCTGTATCCACAGAGAGACCGTGGGATGGATAATACCACAGGGATCGGTGATCTTTCCTTGTCAAGGATCAGTACGACTCATGCATCACTAGTATCAATCCCTCATGATCAGGAAAGCAAATCACACCACAGAAAAGATTTAGAAAAAGTTGTGGGGAATGCAAAGGTGTACCAGGTTCACAGGAAAAATTTGGAAGTAGTTTTACGGGGTGATAACGATGAGTTCACATCAGTGAAAATTCTCAACACAATTTCTGCCAGACTCTTCGTGTTGGTTTGAGCTCCCTTGAAAAAGTAGTTGAAAGTCTTTATTTATTTATTTATTTATTTAATTCTTTATTTACTTTTGATAGACAGAGTACGAGTGGGGGAGGGGCAGAGAGAGACGGAGACACAGAATCTGAAGCAGGCTCCAGGCTCTGAGCTGTCAGCACAGAGCCCGACGTGGGGTTTGAACTCACGAACCACAAGATCATGACCCGAGCCGAAGTCGGACGCTTAACTGACTGAGCCACCCAGGCACTCCTGTAAGCATCATTTCACCCAGTGGACCACTAACGCCTTCAGACACCATTTTCCAGCCTTTCAGGATGCCATACTCCATTTCCCTTCTGCCCCACCGGCCACTCCTCTAAGTCTTCTTTGCTGGTTCCTTTTCCTGGAGAACGCTTTTGCTCCAGATAATCTGCATTCTCCATGTCCCTTTCTCCAAGTCTTTGTCAAATGCCTCTTTCTCACTGAGGCCTCAAGTGACCGCCCTCCTCTCGAGAGCCCCTTACCATGGCTTATTTTTTCCCAGTTGTACCTGTCACCTTCTAACACCCAAAATAATTTAATGTCGTGTTTATTGTCTTTCACCCCCCACCTTCACTACCATATAAACGCCTTGAGGGAAGGGATTATTTTTGTTTTGTTCAATGTTGTATCCCTGGTGATCAGAATGGTAAGTAGCACATGGTAGATGGCCAGTAAATAACTAGTGAATGAGTCAATCAAATAACGTAGTAACGTTCTTGCTACAAGGAATCTGTGCATACCTAGCATTTAAAGTAGTTTTTGTGATAGTTAAGGGTACATGGCCTAAGGGAAACATTTTTGGGCTTACAATTCCAATTTTAAAATATGTGAACCGAGTGAATAATTTACATTTGTGATCTTAAATCGAAATCGCACCAGTTCATAAAGTGTGAGACACTTGCATGCACCTAATCAGCACATTTATAGTTTCACCGATTAGATTTTTAGAATTACTTAGAGTACTTGCAAAAGTTTGTGGGACAGAGTCCTTAAAAGAAAACGGAATATAATAGATTTGTCGATGCAATCTAAAATATTTAAGAGCAGCCATCTAAGATTGCAAAGGGAACCACAAATTTATGTGTGTTCCCTTCAAAAGTAAGTATTTACATTTGCTAAACTTAGAAATTGTAAGCTGACCTTAAAACTTTAGGAAACAATTAGGTTTTAGATCTTCATTTTAGTAGATCACTAATTTTTAAAAGCAAAAGAAAACCTCTGAATGGTCTTTTCTGAGTGTGAGAATATGCACACATGCACGCACATACAAATGTCCAAAACACCCCAAAAATTACAGGAACTGAGGGGTTAGTTAAGCATGCCACTAGTGCCCTCTGGTGTCTGGAGAGAGAAACAACGCATGTACATTAAATAGTAAAAGTCTAATACGAGTTCAAAGCTCTATGTAGGATATGCGCACACAAAAATACCTCTATTTCACTAATAAGTATTTACTACAATATTTCCAACACAGTGAGAGATTTCACAGCGTATCCCACCTATCCCTAATCCTGGGGTGGGAGTAAATGGACGACCAGGAAGCTTCTAAGGAACAGAAGAACTGGGTTTGAAGTAGGCGTTACATCACACGGTCACAGAGAGAAGGAAGAAAGAGCGGCGAGAAGGAGCAAAGGCAGAGGAGAGAGAAAAACACGTGCTGGGAAGCAGGGAATGCTCCAGTCTGGCTGGGACTGGAAATACAAGTGGGGACTCATGGGGACAGGCCCTGCCCACCATGTGCAGGGATTTAGACTTCATACCTAAGACAACAGGGATCACTAACGCTCTGAGCCAAGGGGCAAAATAACCTCAGCTGTGCTTTAGGATGTCGTCAGAGTGGAGTGTGGGATGGGTGAGGAAGACAAAGGGAAAGGCAGAAGACCCTTTGGACGCTAGTGTGCTGGCCCTGGGAAGAGGATGTGATGGCCTGAGCCATGATGGTTTCATTGGGAAGAGCGGGAAGGCAATGGATCCTGGGAACATGATAGAATTGAGAGGACTCAGGCTATGTAGGGAGCAAGAAAACAGTCAGAAAGGACGGTGTTGTTTAGAACCTGGGAAGATGACGTCAATGCACAAGACAGAGAACACTAAGGGAGGAGCAGATTTCTTTTTGAGGAAAATGGTAACGTTTTCTCAGAAGAAGTTAAATTTAAGTGTAGATAAGACATCTGAGAAGACAGGTCCAGCAAGCAGTCAGAAGTTTCAGCACAAACCTTGAGAGAAGGAATGTTTAGGGTTTTCATGGAGCTAATGTGGTTGTGGATGAGATAACCAAGGGCCAGAGAAGAACGCCAAGGGCATCTCCAACAGGGCGAGACCAGGTGGAAGAGGAGATACAGAGAGGCCAGATGTAGCAGGAGAACCAAGTAGAACCCCAGGAGCCAAAGGAAAAGTTTCAAGGAAAAGGAGTAACCAAAACGCTTAGGGTAAAGAAATCTGAAGGCTGAGAAGGTCTACGTTTGATAAGTGAGGTACAATCAGTGATCTTCAAGATAAAGGTGTCAGTAGAAAGGTGGGGGAGACAGCTTACAACTGCTGAGGAGTGAGAAGACGGCATGCAGGCATCATATGTATATATTCCTTTGAGAAGCCTGGCAGAGCGGAAAGATGTGAGAGTATGTTATGGGGGAAGTAGAATCTAGAAAAAGGGACTGATGTTTTGAAGGAAGAGACCTGGACATACAAGTAAGGAAAAGAACAACAACAACAAAATCAGTGGAGAAAGAGACCGAATATACAAAGGGGACTGAAGGAGTGAGGTCTTCTAGAAGGGAGGAGTCAAGAGAAGGTACAAAAATGACAGATGTCCTTGCAATGGAGAGCTACTCCTCTGGGTATGTGCAGATTCAAAACAAGTTCAAGTGTACGAAGAGGAATGGAAGAAGTTAAGAACCAGATGGATGTGATTTCAGTAAAGTAGGAAATAAGGTCATCTCCTGGCACTTCTCAACTTAATAAGTATGGGAGTACCTACTCTGTGCCTGGCACTGTAGATACACAGATGAATAAGAGTCCTTGCCTCGAGACCACATGTCAGGATTTCAGGTGATCTCCCTCTTTGAGGAAGAAGAGGTAAATATCATCCCCTCTCAACCCGGGATCCACATCGAAAGAATTTCCAAGGGCAGGTCTTTTGCCAGAAGGAAAATGATCCTAGGTGGAAGTTTGGTAACACAAGGAGAAATGAACAGTACCAGATGGTAACTAGGAAGGTAAATCTAAGCAGACATCCAGTTTAAAACAGCAGCAACGATAGTCCATGCCTTGTAAGGTTTAAAATACATACGGCAGTGATGGGGGGTGGGAGGGAGGGGACAGTGGGTGGGTGATGGGCACGGAGGAGGGCACCTGTTGGGATGAGCACTGGGTGTTGTATGGAAACCAATGTGACAACAAATTTCATATTAAAAATAAATAAATAATAAATAAAATAAAATACACACGGCCCTACAATATAAGGCAACAATACACAAAAGACAGGCGGATGGTAACTGAGTGGAAATGTTCTATGGTTTTTTCAGTGTCCAGGAAGTGGCGGAAACATGATGCTAATGAGTCAAGTTTGAATGTTGTGTCACGAAAAGAAAGAAAAAAATGAATGTTTAATGAATGGCGAGGAAACATGAATAATACAAATACCTGGTAAATCTAATATCACGTGTGGCATATGGAGGCATGTGGCATCACAAGTGAATCAAATCTTAGACTCACAAAATCTTGGGACTGGCAAGGACCTTGAGAAGTAACTGTATTCAAGGCGGGGATTTTAAGATGTGGGGAGGTATACATTTCAAAATCACATAGTTGTAACAATGCCACGACTTACGCTGTACCATTTGGTGATAAACTTTATTTAAAAAAAAAAAAGTCTAGAGACTAGTATTTGCATTTTGATGACTACATCTTAGGAGACCTAATCCTAAAACTCACCGGTATGTGGACTATCCATTATATTTAGGTCATCAAATATCTTTATTTACTACTTAATAAGAGAGCATATTGGATACATAGGTTGGTTGAAAAATGGAGCCCCGTAAATTTGGATATTGGCAGAGGGATCCTTCAAGTATTGAAGGCTTTCTTTCACCCTTAAATACACAGCCACACAACCCACTGTTGGTCTATGTTGGATTTGGTGAAAGTGACCACAGACCACACCGAATCAGTCCTTTCTTTGTAGAAAAGAGTTTTCTTTTTTCTTTTTTACTTTCCTCCAAATATTTGATCACAGCAAGTCAGAGATATAGGAATGAGAATCGTATTCCTTTCCCTGTTACTATGCTGAAGTGTTGGTACATCTTAGGATTAACAGGCCTCGGGGTCCAAAGGGAACTCTAGTACGAAGTCGTTTTAGTATCAGTGGAGACTCAGCCCTTGGCAGGGGGCCTCGGAAGTAGAGTCCGAAGCGGATCCAGCCAAATGCTCAGAGACTTGAGGACTGAGCAAAAACTCACCGATGGCTGGGCTGGGGAAAACCGTATCTTGACAGACAGGCATGTCTTAAGGTGTGGAGACATCATTTCCACCAAATTGTGCTCACTGGCCTCCGTGGTGGCAACGTGTGAGCGGAAAGCAGGCAAAACGGTCTATCGTGCGAATGGAGCTCTTGAAGGCCACATCCCAGGGCGGTGAGGTCAGTACCTAAAAGCATCTACCAGGAAACCAGTAAAGGTGGAGGGGCCATTCTGGGTCTTGGCATAGGCAAGGAGATGGTAATGCAGCAGTTTGGCAAACCTCTCAATAGGACACTCGACTTTACGCCTTCAGCCAAGGCTTTGGCATCTATTACCCTCAGAGTACCTGCCCGAACCAAAAGCCCTGACCACGCTGAGGCCAAGAGAGGACACAGGAGGACCAGGGCTGTAAGGTAAACACCACAGCTGATGGAGGCACCTGGAAACTACCATCAGCTCAAGAGGAAGACTTTGCAGTATCTAGTTCACCTTCCAACAATTAGGCAGACTAAATATCTTGGATTATAAAAAAAAAGTGGCTGATGGTTTTACTGCATTTATAGCTATTTTTTCCATTTTGAGTTATAGCTGGTTTGAAAGTGGGATAATTTAGTACCAAAAATGAATTCCATTACGTGTTTTTTGTTTTTTGTTTAACTTCAAACTCTTGGGTCATCATGCCCTCTCCAGTCCCCAGGGCTTCTCATCCAGCAAGTCCACAGCGAAGCTCAAGATTATGCATTTTTTCCCCCAAACCTCTCAACTGGGTCTGATGCAGGGCTCTGCTGGCCACACTTGGAGAACATCTCTTCAAGGATGGGGAGCCGAGGGAGCTCACTTTCACCTTCTGACCCACAGGATCACAGATGCAAATGTTTGAAAGACCCGGGGCGCCTGGGTGGCTCAGTGGGTTAAGCCTTTGACTTCGGCTCAGGTCATGATCTCGTGGTTTACGGGTTCAAGCCCTGTGTCGGGCTCTGTGCTGACAGCTCAGACCTGGAGGCTGCTTTGGATTCTGTGTCTCCCCCCCCCCTGCCCCTCCCTCCTCACTCTCTGTCTCTCTCTCCTTCACAAATAAATCAACGTTAAAAAAAAAATATTTGAAAGACCCAAGAATATTCTTGCTACTGGTTTGTTTGTATAAACAGCAAACTCAGACGTTAAGGCCCACATTTGGAAGAAAGGAAAGAATGATACTGAAAATATTCATTATTTAATCAACGTACAAAATATAGGCACGGGGGAAAAAACAGTAATAATTAATATGAGCTGTTTTACACCTCAGGAAAGGGAAAGCAAGAGCACTGACTTTAGGGGTTCATGGTCTTTTGTTGCAAAATCCAAGAATAGAGCTAGGGTTCCATTATGAGAAAAAAAAAAAAAAGAAGGAAACATAGAGGTGATCCAGTAGCTCGAAGGACCCCAAACCTGAAAGGTTCAAGGGAGCCGTGCTGAACTGCACTACAGACAAGGAAATCTGAGCTCATTGTTGGTACCGAGCCATCTCATCTAGTGTGGAACTCAGGGTCTTGCTTGATTCGGTTTCCAGTTTCTTCTAATGGGGACATCTACCCGCGAGGCATAGTGTCCTGAAAAGAAAGCACGGGCTTTGATGGAGTCTTCATCCTCACCGGCCACATTTGCCTCAGGGACTTTGCCCCACTTCTTCGTAATCCTTCTCCAGGGCTGCCAAGTCTTTCCTGGCCTCTAAGAACTCGCCTTCGTCCATGCCTTCTCCGACGTACCAGTGTAAAAACGCCCTCTTGGCGTACATGAGGTCGAACTTGTGGTCCAGGCGGGCCCAGGCCTCCACGACCGCCGTGGTGTTGCTCAACACGCACACAGCCCGCCGGGCCTTGGCCAGGTCCCCTCCTGGCGTCACCATGGGTGGCTGGCTGTTGATGCCCACCTTGAAACCGGTTGGACACCAGTCTACGAACTGCACAGAGTTCCTCAGCTTCGTGGCTGCAATGGCTGCATTCACATCTTTAGGGACCACGTCCCCTCTGTAGAGGAGGCAGCAGGCCATGTACTTCCCCAGCCGAGGGTCGCACTTGATCAGCTGATTGGAGAAGTCAAAGCAAGCAGCGGTGATGTCGGACACGGAGAGCTCCTCGTGGTAGGCGCTGTCGGCAGAGACGATGGGGGCAAAGGCTGTCACGGGGAAATGTATTCTCGGATACGGTACGAGGTTGGTCTGGAATTCAGTCAGGTCCACATTCAAGGGCCCTTCAAACCGGAGGGAAGCAGTAATGGAAGAGACCGCCTGACCTATCAGCCTATTAATGTTGGCATAAGAGGGGCGTTCGGCACCGAGTTTGTGGTGGCAGATGTCATAGACGGCCTCGTTGTCCACCATGAAGGTGCAGTCCAAGTGCTCCAGGGTGGAGTGGGTGGTGAGGATGCAGTTGTAAGGTTCTACGACAGCAGTGGAGATCCTGGGGGCCGGATAGACTGAGAACTCCAGCTTTGTCTTCCTGCTATATTCTGCCGCGAGCCTCTCCATTAAGAGAGATGTAAATCCCGATCCAGTCCCTCCTCCAAAGCTCCGGAAAATCAAAAATCCCTGAAGCCCACTGCAGTGCTCCGCCTGGGGAAGTAAAGGAGACGTGAGAATGGGCCCAACGAAGCCAGAAGCAGTGAGAGGGGACACTACGAGCTCCCCCGAACAAACAAAACCTTCACAAAGGACTGGTCAACCGTGATCAACGCCACAGTAACACATGCGAGCGTGTGGAGTAGGGGAAGCGCTTTAGAATTTTAGTGTAGGCAAAACCTGAACATCCACCTGTCGTTAGCTGCCCTCCACGGATTTATCTGCATGTGATCTAAAGCAAGGTCTTTATCAGTAACAAAGACAAGAAAATGACTGGCAAAATACTGAAGCAACAGATCCCTCCCCCTCCGCCAGTAGATGAAGTACTTATCACCTCTATACCCAGTCTACTCTGTGGGTGTAAAAGGCATCGCATTACTTAAGGATTATGTCAAACACCAAAACAGGTCCTAGACAAAGGATTCTCCAGATCCCCGAAGAAGAACTGACTGTTCGTAAGTAGGGTAACTCATCTCCAGGTAGGATGTGCCTCTTGTTAACTTCACAAATAGTGGGATGCTACTGGAAAAGGACGAGTGTCCAGATGCTTTGAAAGTCTGTGATAACAAGATAAGCCACGAGTTGGGCAGAAGCAAGAGTGGAAGAGGGCTAATCCTTAAAAAGAAGGACCTCCTGCCATTTGTACAGCATGGATGGATGTTAAGGGCATTACGCTAAGTGAGGAAGTCAGACATAGAAAGCCAGATACTGTATCATCCCATTTGTACGCATGGATCAAACTCATAAAAAGGGAAAGTAGAAGAGTGTCTGCCAGGGGCTGTGGGTGGGGGCAACCCAGAGTCAACGGTTGCAGGGCAGAAACTTTCAGTTAGAAAGTGAATGAGTTCTGGGGATCTAGCGGGCAGCACGGTGACTCTAGTCCACAAGACTGTATTGTATGCTTGGAAGCTGCTAAGAAATGGGGCGCCTGGGTGGCTCAGTCAGTTGAGCGACCGACTTCAGCTCAGGTCATGATCTCCCGCGGTCACGGGTTCAAGCCCCACGTTGGGCTCTGGAGCCTGCTTCAGATTCTGTGTCTCCCTCTCTCTCTGCCCCTCCCTCCCTCACACTCTCTCTCTCTCAAAAATAAAGAAGCATTAAAAAAACTAAAATAAAAAAAGGAAGTTGCTAAGAGAGATCTTAAACGCTCCTACCACACGCACACACGTTAACCATATTCCCGCAATCGCTGTACAGGACAGGTGTATAAAATCATCACACGTACACCTTAAATTTACACAATGCTGCGTGTCAGTTAGACCTCAATAAAGCAGTGGGGGAAAAATAAAACATTTCCCCATAAATCTAGAAAAAAAAAAACCCAAAAAAGGGCAGATGGGGCTATATATAACAAGGGTAAAGGTCTCTTCGGCCCTTCCTACGGAACAAAGCGTAATCAGAGCCAACATACGGTGGCTTCACGACTTTGCGCATCTGCAGGAGGCTCCAAGGGGAGAGGCTGGATGCCGTGATGCCTGTGCTAGAAAATGCCGGTCCCTTGGGAGGTGGGGCCCAGGCACCGGGGCACCTGTCTAGGGAGAGGGGAGCCACTTGCCAGCTTTCGGATCCTCTCCAGCACGAGGTCGATGATGCCCACGCCGACAGAGTAGCGGCCTCGGGCATAGTTGTTTGCCGCGTCTTCCTTGCCGCTGACGAGCTGCTCCGGGGGGAAGAGCGAGCGCTGCTGGCCGGCTCGGATCCCATCTGCAGGGGGAGACGAGGTCAGCGCGCTCCCATCTGCAGGGGGAGACGAGGTGGGCACGCTCCCATCTGCAGGGGGATACGAGGTCAGCGTGCTCCCATGGGCAGGGGGAGACGAGGTCAGCACGCCCTGCTCCGAATTCTTGCACGGCCCAGGACCCCGACTGCTCCGTCCTCCCGTGTGGTGGACAAATGGCTTGAAACCACGGAATCACCCTTCCTTAGTCTAGGGACGGGTGTCATTATTCCCAGATAAGCAGAAAGTATGTTTCCCTATCACACACCCTTCATCAGTTCCTTAGGGCTGCCGTGACAAATGACAACAAATTGGGTGGCTTCAGATGAGAGAAATCTGTTCTCTCACAGCTCAGGAAGTCGCACATTAGGGTGTTAGCAGTGCTGGTCCCTTCCGGAGGTGACAGGGAGAGGCTGTTCCATGCCACTCTCCTGGCTTCTGGTGACCTCTGCCAGTTTGGGGAGTTCCTCTGAGTGTACCTGCATGACCCCAGTGCCTGCCTCTGTCACACGTGCCATTCCCCCTGCCGTGTCCCCTCTTCTTCCCATAAGGACACAGACCGTGGGATGTAGGGCCGACCCCCATCCAGTGTGACCCCATCTTAACTCAGTACAGCTGCAAAGACCTTATTTCCAAATGAAGTCACATTCTGAGGTTCTAGGTGGACACAGATATTTAAGAGACACTATTCACACCCATCACACACCCTGGGATCACGCTGGCATTTCAAGGCCAAGTACGTCTATCCACAAATGGCCAACTGCGTGCCAGCAAAGCAAGGAAAAGCGTACCAATCTAAATCATTAGTAGGATGCAAGGAAAGAGGCTTTAACAAGGAAGGTGTGGCCAACTCAAACACTCACACAACTCAAATGCAGTTAACATAAATGCCTAAAACAGGGAAACGGGTTACGATACTGGCAATCTTCAGTACAACCAAGCGCAACTCCTGCCTACTTTTGTTGCCTTTTAGAAACCTGGGCAGCATGAGGAAATGCCAAGACACATGTGTCCCAGGTCCATGTCCCCCTCCCCAAATTTAGAACCATCCACATAGCGCACTTCCTGAAGAATTATGTTGGAGGGCTAAGCAGGCTCTGGGGACGCTGCCCTGGTTACAGCGGGACACTGCACGGCAGCAAGGGCGTGTGTCCAAGAATCCGGTTCCTGCATTCAGGTTCTCCTTCCCCATTCAGCTACGGGGCAGTCACTTACCATCCCTAAGCCTCCATTGTCGCATCTCACAAACATGGATAATAACAAGACCTGCCCCATTGAACTGTTACAAGGATTAAATGAGATCACAAGGCACAACACGCAACCCACAGGAAACCATTATAAGTAATAATGATACAGGGGTGCCTGGGCTCAGTCGGTTGAGCTTCCGACCTCAGCTCAGGTCATGATCTCGCAGTTGACGGGTTCGAGCCCGGCATCGGGCTCTGCGCTGACAGCTCGAAGCCTGGAGCCTGCTTCCGATTCTGTGTCTCCCTCTCTCTCTGCCCCTGCCCTGCTCGTGCTCTGTCTTCTCTCTCTCTCTCAAAAATAAAAACATTAAAAAAAATTTTCTTTAATGATGATACAATTAGCTCAGGACATGTATTTATGCAAATACCACATTGGTCCTGTCACCAGATACCTGTAGTTCATTTCAGAAGATCACTGCCTAAGAGGAAATGAGCCAATGTCTAAGAACAAGATGGCTCTCTCAACTCACCTTGCTCCCCTGAACATCACCATGAATTTCTAAACCACAATTTTGTACACCCCCAAATACTTAAATTTACCAAAATTTATTTAAATGAGTTTTAACATACGCACACCAAAAAAAAATAAACAAAAAACCCAAAGTTAAGGTTTTTAAAAGATACACTTATAAACAAGATAGAAGTGGGCATATAATTCTGGGTGGACTCTGCTCTTCACCTAAAAGTCTAAGGCTGAATTCAGCCTAAGAAGGGAATTTATAGCATTCTGGAAGCCCGGTTCTTCATGATAATGTCCACTTGAGATGCTGAAGGTAGTTCCATAAATTCTTTCAGTAAAATCGACTTTTCCAGAGATCAGTGATTATAGCACTGCCATTCGTGAGCACACCCAAACTGTCTGCTCCCTTCCTGGCACCTTTTCCACTTCGCTCAGAGACACGAGTGATCTAGCCCAGCGTCTTTACCTAACCAGCACCCTCAGGAAGTGAAGTGGTTTTTAAAAAGGATGATTTGACATTCCTTGCTTCCTTACTTCCAAAGCTGTTCGGCCCCACTCCACCTGAAATCCTTACAACTGTCTCCCCCAAAATCTTAAAGTTGCCAAAAGCCTTTCTCCAACCACACCTCCTAGCCCACGACCCAGCCCGATGGTCTTTCTGTACCATTGCCCCCCTACTCGGCCCCAAGTTCCTGCCACACGGAACTCCTGTGACACGTGCAGGTTCCTCCAGGCCTCTGTGAATCTGTCAGTGCTGCTCCCTCGGGAGAAGACGTCGGATGGCTCTCTAGTTACTCGCCCCTTCGTCGGGGATACCTCTGCACCTTGCAGACATTTCTGTTGTTACTAGGTGGCATCGTACAACACTGACGTTTTTTAGATAAAAAATAATCAACCGCTGGCAACTTTATATGGTTCGGCTTAACACAGGTGTTCGTGTTGCTACCACCATTTACATTGTCTGCTCCACTAGCTTATGCTGTTTCGTTGTTGTTGTTGTTAAAAGAGAATGGCTCTTCAAAGCATAAGAGACTCTTAAAAACTGAGAACAAACTGAGGGTTGATGGAGGGTGGGAGGGAGGGGAGGGGGGGTGATGGGTATTGAGGAGGGCACCTTTGGGGATGAGCACTGGGTGTTGTATGGAAACCAATTTGACAATAAACTTCATATATTGAAAAAAATAAAAATAAAAAAATAAAAAAAAATAAAAAAAAAAAGAGAATGGCTCTCATTAGTATGCAAATCTGGGATCAAACCCAGTTCTACCCTCAAAAGTTCAACGATCTAAGGCAGGTTCCAGAACCTGCCCAAGACTGGGCGGCTTCATCTGTTAACTGAGGATAGCAAGGTTTCCTGACAGAATACTAAAGGGATTATAGGAAAATATCCGTGCAGTTCCTCACTGATACATGGTACTGCTATGGACTGAATGTTCGTGTCTCCCCAAGGTCTGTCTTGAATAGGTGTTGAAGCCCTCACCCCCGGTGTGATGGTGTGGGGAGGTCACCAGGCCATGGGGGTGGGGCCCTCGTGAATGGGGTTAGTGCCCTTGTCAGAGGACAGAGAGCGGATCTCTCTGCTATGTGAGGACATGGCAAGAAGGTGGCCATCTGCAAAGCCAGAAGACAGCGCTCATCAGAGACCGACCACGCTGCCACCCCGGTCTTGAACTTCCAGCCTCCACCACAGCGAGAAATAAATTCCACCGTTTAACCCCTAGTCTACGATATTTTGTCACAACAGCCTGAACTCACTAGGACGGCAGCAGGGAAGGGATCAATATTCATTCATCCGTCTACTCCCATTACCTAGATGGATGAATGTTCATTGAACTTTGCTAAATTCCTTCTCACCACGACCTTGTGCTCCCGGTAGTTTCTTTTCCCACTCCTCCTCCCTTCGTGTTACTTTCACGGGTCTGCTCACATAGCCTGGCCCTGTGACGGGTGATCAGAGCCGGAGGCTTGCCGCCTGCCCCAAATCCTTCCTCGCCTGGTCCCCACCTCACGGGTACCATCCACCCCAGCTTTGTTCTCGGCCCCTTCAGACTCACACTTTGGCACACTCCCCACACGTCACTTGACCCTCTGTCCTCCTCTCCAAACATGTCTTAAATCTCTACTCCTATCTCCAAGGTCTCACACACCATCACCCCATTATTCCAATCAGAACTCCTCAATGAGCACCTTCCTCCCCGTCACCAAATCCTTGGTCACTACCCCAGAGAAGAGAGGGAAGGAGGAGAAGAACAACCCACCCTCAGTCATGGGGCCCCTCAGCCACTCTGAACCGTCCCTCCCTCCCCTCTCTCCCTTGTTCTGCCTATGAATATCTTTAGTAGAATTCTACTCCACAAACACAACCTAAACTTACCTTTCCTTTACTCAAAACCACTCAGGCTGGCTTTGGAGAACATCAGCCACTTTCACAGCTTTTTAGTACTAACTCTATCGGGTAACTTTTCACTGAACACCTCTGGTTCCCCATCTTCTAAGGGGAAGGGACCAACCTGCAGAGCCTTCAAATTCCTCATGCCCAAAACTAGGTCGCCTTCTGGAATTCCTACCTCATTTCTCAACCCCATTATTGAAACAGCAAAATCTGGGGGCGCCTGGGTGGCGCAGTCGGTTAAGCGTCCGACTTCAGCCAGGTCACGATCTCGCGGTCCGTGAGTTCGAGCCCCGCGTCGGGCTCTGGGCTGATGGCTCAGAGCCTGGAGCCTGTTTCCGATTCTGTGTCTCCCTCTCTCTCTGCCCCTCCCCCGTTCATGCTCTGTCTCTCTCTGTCCCAAAAATAAATAAATGTTGAAAAAAA